CGGCCATTTCCCGCTCGCGCGCGCCTGGCGGCGCACGCAAGGGGGCGTGTCTGAGCGGACGTCTAAAGACGCCCGCTCAGATCGAGAGAGCTCCTGGCCGGCCGTTTTTTTACTACGGCCGGCCCGGAGGCAGTTAATGAGTGTGTGATATGTGTGTGCTGTGTGTGTTTCATTACATGTGTGTGTTTTTTTAACCACTTCCCGCGGGTTCACGTAAATGTACGTCCTCCACTGGAAGTGGTTATAGCAAGAATATGGCTGCTCCTGCAGCCGTGTTGTTGGTACCGTTTTAAGGCCTGTACACATTACTTGCAGTGCGTTCCGGCTGGAACGACCCCGATCACTGGACCCCGGAAGTGATGTGCATCTCGGCTTCTTTAGGGTCCCTAGGTAACATTAGGGTCTGAAAGACCCCTGATATCTCCATAAAGAGGATCTGTCACATCATATTTGCTATTATATAGGGGACTTGTTGAGTGTAAAAAAATACAAAACAAATTGTATACATTAAAGTAACATAAAAAAATGCAAAACTATTTTTTTTAACCACTTGAAGTCCGCGGTGTTACACTCTCTTCCTGCCCAGGCCATTTTCCAGTATTTAGCGCTGCGGTACTTAAATTGACATTTATTCCGTCATGCAACGCTGTACTGAAATGAATTTTGTACCATTTTTTGGGGACAGATAGAGCTTTCTTTTGGTGGTATTTAATATTTACTATACTAAGCAACAATTGCCGAAAAAAAATAAAAATGTTTCTCCTATATTAAATAATAAAACATTTATTATTACCCATTTTTTTGGTAAGGGTCACGTTGGGTAAAAAGACACCACACATGTCAAGCCTTAAAATTGCGCGTGCACGTGAAACCTCAAAAAACTAAAATACCCAAAATTGGCCATAGGCGACGCTTTAAAAGCTTTAACCGCTCATCAGTTTAGTGTTATCAGTGATTGATGGCTCTAGAATTATTGCGCTCACTCCAACGTTTGCGGCGATATGTAAAATGAGTAGTGCAATTTTTTTTCGCGCGCTGGTGCATCTGACGCATATTTACGTTTATATGTGCGTATACGTGGGGGTGGGGGATTTTTTTATTTTTTTTTACACTTAATGTTATTGCTATCACATAGGGGGATAACAATCTCCCTATATAATAGCAAAGGCACAGTGACAGGGCCTCTTTAGGTCCTCTCTAAGACCCCTAATGTCACCTGGGAACCCCCAAAGAAGCTGATGAAGCAGGGATCTGCTCCCCCAGCTTCTTCTCTCTGGCTATAGCAGCCAGATGACTGACAGGTGAATGCGGAAGTTATGTATTACACATTACTTCCACATTCACAGTACGGAGGGAGTTCAGCAATGAGGAAAATGCTGATCTCACTCCCATCTTCCTCCTGACACCCTTCCGAGCCGGACCTGGGCCGCAGATGTGGTAGTGGATCCCGGGATTGAAGGGGAGGGTGCAGGAGGGGGGTGGCGGCACTCTAGGAGGGGGAGGGGGCACGCAGCCACAGCATACAAGCGATTGGCAGCTATGGAACCGCCGATCGGTTGTATGTCAAACAGCCGGTAACGGCTCCTCAGAAAGGATGGTTTTTTCTGCCTGTGCGCACGCTAGGGGGTGCGCGCAAGCAGTAACAAAAAGCCATCTAATTACGGCAACCCGCCTATGTGAGTTTGCCATCTGTCCATTTTTTTAAATCGTCGCAAATGTCGCAGTGAGAGCTAAACTGATGAGCCATAAAAGCATTTAAAGCGTCGCCTATGGGAAATTTTGGTTAGTGTCGTTTTTTGCGGTTTCACGGATGCACGCGATTTTAAGGCTTGACATGTTTGGTATCTATTTCCCGGCGTGACCCCGTCTTTTATATTTTAACAAACCATTATATTCTGTTTCTGTGTACTACATTTCATTTTAGTGTACTTTATCCTAAAAATACTTGTTTGATAAACATTTGCGCAAATACCGTGCAACATAAAACATTTCAACTAGCATCTTTCTATTCTACAGGGCCTCTGCTTTCAGAAAATATATCATTGTTTGGGGGTCTAAAGCTTTTTTCTAGCCAAACATTCAGGTTTTATCATGTGTGTGCAAATGTAAGAAATTGCTCTGGACAGCAAGTGGTTAATGCGTGTGTCATGTGTGTGTTTTAATGCGTGTATAAATGTTTGAATTTGTGTGTTTCCCTATGTTGCCGGGGGCAGTGATGCTGAACATTTTTTAAACCCGATCGCCTGAACTGCAACGCAATACTAAAGTTATTTTCAGAGTTTGCACTTTGACATAAATACATTGACTTTGCATCGCAGTTTGGGTGCTCGGGTTCAAACACATTCGCCATCTCTATCCTAGTCTGACAGCGGCACAGACAAGTGCCCAGAGGTAGCAGGGCAGGGGCTGTAGATACTGCCCCTGTGGTCCCGAGCCCCCCACTGAAAAAATGGTGCCCACATCTGCCCCTTGTGAGAACTCTTTGGTTTTTAAACTTTATTGGCACTGGTAAGAAAATGTATCCTGTATAGGGGCAGACTGGGTTCATGTAAATATCTGATTTGTTGTCGGGGCGACTGTTTACTTTTCTTATATATTTTTTTTTAGATTTTACAACCTGTGTAATGTTATGTTGTGTTATGTTTTGTGCATATGTGCTGTATACTAGTCAGATTAAATGGTTTGCTGTGGTTTGTAATAGACATGCAGGGCAAAAAATTTGGTTCAGACAAAACAAATGAAAATGAGAAACATTTTTATTTGTTTTGTCAAAGGAAACTAATTTTAATGTTGTTTTGGATTCAGAGGCAATGAGCCTCCCAATCCGAAACCGCACAAATAAATTGCAGA